AAAGTAAGTCAGAATAAACTGGTGAATATTATAGAATCAGGGGCATAGAAAGGGAGTGGACTGACAATTCTTGAGGGGAAGGAGGTGTGGGGGATACAGGAAGAGACTGGACAAAAATCTTATATCTATGGATGAGGACAGTGGTGGGGGGTGGGGTGAGGGCATGGCGTGGGGTGGGAACCGGGGGGAGGGGAGCTATGGGGGGGAAAAAGAGGGACATCTGTAATAATCTGAACAATAAAGATTTGAAAACAAAAGAATATGAGGGAGGCAAGTGACAAAAGGATAAAGTGCCATTAGATAATACGATCTGGTGAAGCAAACATATTGTGGAGTCAGAATAATGGAGAAAATGATTTGGAAATGTAGGAGGCTGAATTTAGAGCCTGGGTCACTTCAAATTAAGATTATGGAGGGGTTCCAGATATTGGCAATAATAAATTTTAGATTATGACCAAAGGGGTTATTAGAATAAGTGAGAAAAAAATACAAGATTACTGGATGTCCAGTAATTAAGTGGCTAGAATGTTGGAAGGATGGTCTATGACATAGAGTCTATGTAGACAAAGCACTAAATATTAGAAGAGTATTAGTGCTAGAGAGATTAACAGTGAGCTGAAATTTTTAAGGAATCAGGGAAATGACCACGAGTTGGAAGATGACTGAAACAGTCAGTGTTGTGTAATGGTTGTTGTAGTCTGATGTCAAGAGTCAGCATTGGAAATTTTTAAAGTTGGGGGGAGGAAAGATGATCTGGAAATTGAAAACAGAAAAAAGAGAACCTTCGGGTTCATTAGTACATGGAATGTGGTAAACAAAGCCACCACCCACACTTGGGATATCTGCGGGGAACCTAAAAGGAGAAGTGGATTTCAATTAAAGCAAGAAGATAAAGGAAATGTTTACTGAGTATTTAGTTTCTAAAGATTTTGGTGGTGAATAACAACGGTTTTCAGAAGGCAGAAAAACTAGCTTTTTTGGAGTCAGAATAGACGCTCAGAGCCTTATATATACACATTGCAAACTCCAGAGCAAGCACTACAAAATTTTACCACATTGTACAAATGCTGACCATAGAAATGTGGACACTGCTATTATTTCAGAGAAACTTATCAAAGAAATTTATTAGCATAAATAAGAAAAGTAGTTGTGATAAAGAAGTGATACCAGCCAAAAATGTCACATGAAAGGAACTGTAGAAAATATTTCATATCTGTGAGAGCACAAAGAATAAAATGTTAAAAGCTGGTCCCAACTTAGAAAGGAGTATGGCAGTTTGCTAAGGCATGGGGAAGATGTTCAAGCTGTTGAGTCAGAAGTTGTACAGAAGAAGTTGCTCATGAAATTTTTAAAAAATGAAATAAACCACTTTAACTCTCAATGTTTCTAATATTTTAAATGATAATGTACTAAGTAATACTAATTTCACTATTTTTTATTCCCATATACACATATATATGTATATATACATATATATATATCATCAACAGAAATATAGTTTTTAATTTTTTGAGACAAAACGATCAAAATTTTCCCTTTGATTCTGAGATTGTGCATGGCTTCAACTGACAGAATGCTTTTTTATATCCTGTGGTGTTATAATAAGCTATAAGTTTGCATTTACCTAGGATAAAAAATGTGGCATATCTACTTTGTTTCCACAAATATTAACTTTTGGAGTCATCAGATTTTCCAATTGTTTCATTTCCATTGAATATTGCCTACTTTACAGCACTTTCAACACTTGAAACATTGATAAGGCTGCCAAACCTGTAACAAAATAAATAAATGAATAAAAATGAATTGTATGCTTCCTTTATCTTTAAAAAGGGACAATTACTTCATGAACCAAATCTGTTATATCCAAAACTTTTTTTTTTATTTTCTTGTTAGATGATTGTATTTAAGTTAAAAGAGAAAAAGTGACAATAGCTAGGGTGATTCCTTATACCACTGTGAGAATTCACAAGAGCCCTCAACTGTCTAAAACCCTCAAGTTACCTCTCAGCCTTCTGTTCCCAAGTTCACCCAAGAGGTCATGAGCAGTCTTGGCTTGTTCAGGACATGTCTGATTTGATGCCCAATATCTTGATGTAACTATCTACAGTGCCTCCTTCCACGCTCAAAGGTGTTCGGGTTTGGGCAATAAATCATAAGGTTACCTTCACTGTAAGTTTCTTTAAAATGTTGCATAATCTTCCTTTAATAAAGCATGTAAGCTTATATTATTTACTTAAACAACATGCAAAGTAGAAACACAGCAGAATTTTCTTTGCTACAAAGGGACACATTATTGTGTATCACACAGAGTAATACTCTTGACTGTGATTTGATTTTGCATTTATACTTTCCATTTCTTAGTGCCCCCTGAAAGCAAGGGACAGTACTGTGAACGGAAGGGTTAGGAAATGCAGCAGAACTTCTGAATTTCTACCTTCTGTGCTCTTAATTCCAAGGGTCTCCTTTTATTTAGAATAGGTATTTTGTTAAAAAAAAAAAACAAACCATGATTGCTTGGGGTTCAGACACATGCTCCCATAATTTCTTGCCTTCTGTTTTTCATCTTTGATCATATATGGAGGATAACTGTCAGGTAAATATATCCAAAATTAGCATACCAGACATTCCTTTATTATTGACAAAATAGAAGAGACTAACTCACAGGTAAAATGCAAAATTTTGAAACATTTTCTGTCGTCTGATATTTCTTGGGTAATGTACAATTCAGTTGCATCCAGGACACAGGTGATGGAAGACAGCTAATGAACAGCTATATGCAAAAGAAACATCAGTTACTATTCCTTTATCTCAATGGGAGCTAATTCAAGTACAACAGAACCAGACTCATGTCATCAAAATTCCACTCAACAATCATTTAACTTCTTCTCGGTTCCTTGTCCCCTTTCCCTCAGTGAAACGTTAAAACTGTCTTTATTCTCAGGTTTCCTACTTAACACCATCACTCTTAACATTCAGCATATGATAAGCAAAAACAGAGGTATCAGGTGAGCTAAGTCCTAGTCCCCCAAATACCACCATCTCTACATTTGTAGAGGTTCTAATTTTATTTTCTGCATCCACTGTGGAATGGGTTCCCATTCATTCAAGGCTAGCCTTTCCACTCTTTTCCAACTTACTACCTCCCTCTCTCCTACTCTTTTAATCTTTCCCTCTTCATTGGGTCCTATCCTGAAGTAAGTAATAATATTTTTAAAACTCTCCTGATGTCATGAATTTTCTTTTAGAGGTATAAAAGGTAACATCTTTCATTACCCCCAAAGATTCTAAAGAGAAAATCTGGAGCTTAAGCTTTACTTTATTGCTTCTTCCTCATTCAGATTTTAAGCACTCTCTAACATTCTCCGTGAGCACTGTACTTCTCATTTTTTGTATATGAAATATCATAATTACAGTAAAATAACCATTTGCATTATTCTCGATTTGTTTTGATTCACCTTAGATCAAAGCTTCTGTAAGATGTATGAAGGAAGGGCTTATTATTATTACATCCCCAGAATTCAGTATATGTTGCTGACCTTAGCAGGCACAAGAAATATTTGAAAAATAATTAAATGTTACCAATAATTAACCCACATGACTTCATTTATAATACTCTTGCCAGAGACATCTATTAATTGTTAACTAAGATTTTATTTTTTAGCTATACCTAATACCTTAGGCTTTGAAAATAGGCAGACGAGAAGCCTGTGTTGCTCAGTGGTTAAGAGTTGACCTATAAACCAAGAGGTCAAGGTTTGCTTCCCAGTCAGGGCACATGCTGAGTTTGCAGTTTTGATCCCCAGTAGGGGGCATCTAGGAGATAGCAGATAAATGATTTTCTCTCATCATTAATGTTTTAATCTCTCTCTCCCTCTCCCTTCTTCTCTGGAATGAATATATGTAAAAGAAAATAGGTAGACTAGGGTTTGAGCCTGCATTCTGGTGCTTATTACTCATGTGACCTTAAGAAATTTACTTATTCTCTATGAACTTTAGTTTCCTGATCTGAAATTTAGGGATAACAATACTTACATCTTAGACTGTTTTAAGGTCAAATAAAACATTAGCTAGAAAGGTCCTTTTTAGTTTACTATCCCACCCCACTAGTTGCCCCACACACAGAGGGCAGCCCACGGTGGGGACGGGGCCAGCGAGCTGGCAGGAATGGCTGACCTCTCGGGCCCATCCCCCAGCCATCAGGCTCTGATTGCCCAATTGCGAACAGGGAACTGGGGGTGGGTAGCGGGGCGGGGGGGGAGGTGGCTGCAGGAAGCTGGGGAAGATGGCACTGATCACAGGCCAGGCCTAGGGACCATATCCATGCATAAATTTTGTGTGTCGAGCCTCTAGTAAAATCATAAAGGGCAAAAATCACAGAGACATGAACTAAATTCAATTTCATGCTGATAACAAGATCTGTTGGGCTGGAGCATGCTATATATTACAGCAAATTAAATAAGTGAGTGCGCTGGGATAGTAAGGGTTCTAGCATTCCATAGTTAGGAATTTGGTGGTTTTTTGACACTCAAATATTAATAAAATAACAGCGAAATAATCATGAGTATTGCAGTATTTATTGCAGTATCGATTTATCTGTATTTTAACTTTAATAACACTAAGTAGGGCTGTAACATGTGAAAATAAGATAAATGATTTATATGATTATACCAAATGGATTGGTCAAGACTATAAATTTTCATCAGTGTACAACAGCTCAAAGGAGAAAAAGAATCCCATGATTTAAGTTGTATCAATAGTCCATTAAAATATGCCTCACAACTGAAACTAAGTCATTACACTCTGGTTCTATTAGAACCAATAATCACAGGGAATAAGAAATACCAAAGAAATACATATCCATAACTTACCTGCTATGCTATGTTTCATGGACTGGTAAGTCTAATAATTATATGTCCTTGCTATAATTATTTGAACCTGTGGTATAGGAATTCTCCAATGACTCCACTCAGAGGGAAGGGGCATAGAGAAAAGGCATAAAGGCCATTCGTTAGGAACAGCCAAGGATTAATATTGCCACTCAAATTCTTCTTACCTGTACCTTAACAATACCAGGAAATGTATACAGACATACCAGAAATCATAACACAGACCTGAGTCCTATTGCCATTTTTCTCATTGTCACATATCAGGGAGGAGAAATTCTTCCCACTATCTCCGTGCCATATGCATGACTCTGAACATGAGCAAAATCTGAGATCTGAAAATCAAATGAGAAAGTCTTTGAGGCTGGCACACACATATGCATAATATGTATTCACAGATATACAATCAATAAGCATACATATTGGAATTCCAACATCTTCAGTATATATTGAAAGGTTAAAAGGTGACATATTGAATGAGGTGACTGCTTAAAATATGAAAGAAGAGAATGTGTCTGAAATGAGGTGGGATTTGAATCTGAAACAATTTGAGACAGAAAAAGAATCATAGATACATAGGAAGAAAAATGATGAAGCACTCAGAGAAAACTTCAGTATGTTTGAATTGCTGCAACAGGACCTAGTCCATCTCTATTCTTTTAAATTTTCTACAGAAGCCTCATCACCTCACTGTTTTCAGTGATCTACCTGATATATATATAAAAAGCCAGTGACTGGAACACTGTAATGACCTGAACAACCAGTTGCTATGACGCCCACTGCAGCCAGCAAACCAGCCCGATCAGGGGATGGAGCTGGCTGGCCAACCTCCTGTGGTCCCTTCCCCCAGCTGGCCCCACCTCTGATCAGCCTGCCCCACCCCAATCGGCCGCAGCCCCTCCTCGTCCAGCCCTGCCCCTGACCACCTCCTCCCCCTACTCCAATAGGTGACAGGGCTGGCCAGCCAACCTCCAGCAGCCCCTCCCCACTGGCTGGCTGCATCCCTGGTGCACACCCCCCCTCCAGTGACTGGCAGCCCCACCCCTCAGCTGGCCCCACCCTGATTGCCCCCCACTACCTCAACAGGGGGTGGGGCCAGCCACCAAACCTCCTGCAGCCCCTCGCCTCACCCGGCCCCACCCCTGATTGGCCCCTCTACCCCAATCGGCCCACAACTCCTTCCCCAAGCCAGCTCCGCCCCCTAACGCCCCCCCACTCCAATCAGGGCAGGGTTGGCCAGCCAACCACCCATAGTCCCTCCCCCAGGCTGCTGGCCCCTTATCAGCCTCCCCCATCACATTCTGGGGCAGGGCTGCCTGGCCCACTGTCCACAGCCACTCCCCAAAACTGGCTCACCCATGATCAGCCCCCACCACCCCGATGGACCTATGGCACCTCCCCCCAACTAGCTCTACTCCTGATCAGCCCCCCACATACTAATCAGGGGTGGGGCAGGCCGACCATCCACCCACAGCCTCTCCCCATGGCTGGCCCCGCCCCCATTCACCTCTCCACCCCAATAGGGGGAGGGGCCTGCTGGCCAATCACTCACAGCTTAGTCCCCCAGCTGGCCTGGCCCTGATCACACCCCAAACGGGGTGGGCCTGCCAACCTCCCACTGTCTTCTCCTCCCAATAGGCCCTGTAATCAGCCCCCATTGGTGCTGGGCCAGCTGGACCCACCCGTGCACAAATTCGTGCATTAGGCCTCTAGTGTTTCTATAAGACCATGCTTTAAATTATACAATGTTTTTCTATTGTTTCCAGGTTAAAATCCAAACCCTCTCCATTATCTACAGGAACTCTAATGACAGTCCTGTTTTATTTCTTATTAATCTTATTTTGAATACCTTGAACTTCTCCTGAGAGTGTCATGCTATATTGCTCATCACTTTTATTTCAATATGCCTTCCCTTCCAGCACTGAATATTGTACCCTAACCCAGTCTGGACTATTCCCTCCAACTATATTATTTCTTGCATTATATATTTATGTTTACATGCACTTATTACACTGGATTGTAATTATCTCTTTACTCATCTGTTTTTTCTATCATATCATTAGTTACTCAAGGCAAAGAATTACTAAACTGTTATACAGAAAACTTTATATTCTTAGAGTCTTCACCCAAGTGGTAGGCAATTTTTTTAAATAAAAGAAGGTAAGAAAGGAAGGACTGAAGAATGAAAAGGAGATAAATCAGTGAGAAGGCAAAGGGTTTTTAGCAGAGGAAAGTGCATGGTTCCTCTGTGAAGAAACTGGATACTCTATCTAGCAAAGCCTAGGTTTCTGCTTTAACTATTAGTGCCACAGTTTATATCAGCTTCATTTGAAAAGGAAAAAGAAAAGTTGTCTGTTCATACATTCCAGCCTGGTCTTCCACCCTTAAAATATCCAGGTAGATTTTTCATCTCCAGAGAGATCTAACAGAAACCTACCCTCTTTGAATAGCAGCATAGTCAACACAAACCAGGATCCCTTTCTTTCTTACGTATGAAGAGAGAAGCAAGAATTATAAGGTATACTACAGCACCAGAACATGAGAGAGAATTGCCATAATAAAAAAATAAAAAAAAAGGAAAAGGAAAAAGCAAATGACCTGTCTACCACCCAAAAAAATAAGTTTTAGGAAAGACAAGAGTCATATTTTAAAATATTCCTCTGAGTAGTATACTGAGATGACTTTAAAAGTAAGAACAGACTGCTAAAAAAAAAACAATTAAACAATTCTCAAGAATCACGCAAGGTTTTATCAGGTTAAAAATATGATTGTGAAAATAATAATCAATATAAAGATTGAAAAAAAGTTTAGACAACCTCCCATAGTAAAAAAATAATACAGAAAAAGAAAGAGAAGACAATCTGCAAATCTTAACATTTGAAGCAAAGAGGTCATGAAAAGAACAGGAAATGGGGTAGAAAGTATGAACTTACTAGTAATAGCACATATTTTCCATAAATTTGAAAAACATAAACTTTCATATTGAGAAGACCCACAGTGTACACACCAATAAATGATTAGAAAACACTCATACTCAGAATATCTTAAAACTTCAGCTCCCCAAAACGAAGAAAACATTTTAAAAGCTAAAATCAGGTCATTTTTATAGAATGAAAATCACACTGGGAACAGGCTTCATATTAACAACATTGCTTGCTAGAGACAATGAAGCAACATTTTCAATATTCTTGAAGAAACTCCTTTTAACCTTTAAATTTATATGAAGCCATATGAGGACCTTCTCAGACATACAAATATGCAGAAGATTTATTTCCTATATATCCAGGTAAAGTCCATTAAAATGGGAGCATAAATAAATCGGAGTGTAAAAAAAGGAAAAAGAAGAAAGAAGGGATTCAAGAAAACTGAATCTAACCCAAGAAAGATAGATGATTGATAGATAGATAGATAGATAGATAGATAGATAGATAGATAGACAGATAGATGATAGATAGATATTAGTTTGATAAAAATAATAAACAACATATAAAGAAACTAAATGAAGAAAGACAGAAAGTGTTTTTTTAATAGAAGAATTTATAAATGGTTATCAGATTTCCATGATTTTTTTAATTTCAAAAATATTTAAAGATTTTGAACACAGTGAAAAGGCTGGGGAAAATTAGACAATTCTGTTATTGATGAGACTATGAAACAGATAAATGATTTCAC